CTCGCGAGATCAGGATGGTCTCACCAGGCTAGAATAGAACGGCCGTACTAATGTTTCATTACGAGAATAAGTGGTAATAATATGAGGATAGAGCGGCGAGGATAGAGTGGCGATATTAGGCTGGTAGCCTGATTTCCTCCTGTGTCTGTCGCTGTTAGGTCGGGGTTCAGCCCGCCATCTTGGGCTCTGTGAAACCTAAGCTAACGTTAGCCAACCTGCTACACTGTCTGCCTGTTTTGATGCTAATTTATCTGTTATGACCTTTTTCCTTAAACTGGTGTTATAATCATAACTAGTCTTATAACTTGGATCTCTTAGACCTAGTATTAGGACTTTATTTTAATGAGATTAATATCTTTGTGGCGATGGTATTGATGTATCCTGAATCAAAATGATTGAATGTTTGTATAGATAAATGAACTCGACTGACTGGGATGTCCATCCGTGTCTCGCTGTGTTCTCCAGATCAAATGCCCGTCAGCCTCTTTGAGTCCTTCGACATAAAGACGAATTCATGGCAGGTGGAAACGGAGCTGCTGACGGCCCGCTGCTGCCACGGCTCGGTGGAGGTCAACGGGCTCATCTACGTTTGCGGCGGAGGGCTGATGAGGGACCGCTTTTGGATCACCAACACCTGTCAGGTGTACGACCCCAGCAGCAGACAGTGAGTCGCAGGCCGCGTGCTGCAGCAGGGACCGCATGACTGTTAGCATAGCTGCACAGGATTGCCTAGCTTTATTCCTCCAAGATTTTCCAGCCTAACAGCTGAACCTTTTCAGGTGGACGGAGGTCCGCCCCATGAGCGTTCCCAGGAAGAACCACGGGCTGGTAGCGGTCGGCAACCACATCTACGCCATCGGAGGGAAGGATCATGAAGGTAACTGGAACACCAGGCCACTGGAAAAGCTTCCTTAGAACAAATCCGCAGCGTCTGCTTCTGTGAAACAGGCCCTCTGAAATCGGTGGAAAAGTACGACGTCGTCAACGACTTCTGGCTTCCCTGCCAACCCATGCCCTGTCCTCTGATGGTGAAATGTGCCGCCGTTGATGACGTGATCTACGTTCTGGCGGGAAAGGGGAATGAGAAGCTCAGACGCGTCCTGAAGTACAACACCAGAACTGACAAGTTGGTTTCAGTTTTATTTTAAAGAAATTTTTCACAACAGCGTAAAACAAGAACTTGGACGTCTGAGGTGTGATCGCCTTTTCTTTCCCCTCAGGTGGACGGTTTGTCACACGGTCCCGTCGGTCCCGTTCCAAGGGTCCGTCATCTGCACTGTGGAATTTTAATTTATACTTATTTACGTTTTAACTGTCCAGCAATATTTATTCTGAGCAGTTTATTTTATATTGAATAAATTATTTTTATATAAAATGTGTTCTGAGTCTAAATTTTTTTTCTTAAAGGAAAAGTCCGCTCATATTCAGAATAAAAACTTATTGAACAGGATGTAATTTCATATTTGGAGTAATTTCCATGTGAATGTGCTTTATTGGAGGCATCCAT